ACCCACCCCAGACGCGCCTGCGCAGCGGACAGCGCCGCGGGTTGCGCTAAAGGAAGCAACCCGCCCCACCAGTGTTTTCTCACCTTGTGGTTTCGACGTGCATTTGACACGTCAACTCCGATTGGAATCCTTGATCAGGTCCTCGTCTGTCCATGTGCCACCGCGTCGAGACTTCTTAGATGACATATTCTCCCTCCCCATGTCACGCAGGGGCAGATCCAGAAACTATTTTAGTGATGGACCAATTTAAGTTTTCACCCCACATAATTTATTTTTCTTTCAGTTGTTAGCGTGAAATATACACTGATTTAAATAGAGTAACACTTAAAGGTCACGAGTTGACCAGGGGGACACTCGTCATCCAATCGGGAGCTTCGTTACGATTTAAATTTTTGGTATTGGAGCACCCGATTGAATGGCATTGCCCCCTCCCTGTCTTTTTAGCTCCTGACGTCGAAGTGCCTCTAGTTTAAATCGGAGTATAAAAAATTACTGGTATCTTCAAAATGGAAATATTGCTTTGGTTGTCACTACATATGTATTTAGTTTTTTTGTGAATATATTGAGAAAACTATAGAAATAGTAGCTTCGACGGGTGCATGGGCTCCTCTTTTGGATCCGCTACTGCCACTGTGCCCATCTTTAATTCGAAATTTGCACCGGAACTGCCGTCATTCATTTTTTAATCAACGGCCGTTTCAGTGTACTTTCGTCGTGAAGCTGGTCACAGAAGTTCCGATATGTTGCGTCCCGTAACTTGATTACCACGCTGTTGCACCTGGACAGACGAACAGTCGGCACTCGAACAGTTGGTCCTGGAAGCCAACGACCTCACAAATGTTAAACTTTATGCACATAACCTTCTTTTTCAGACATTTATCTTTGGGCATCACGCGTCTTCAGTTGGTAATTGAACGTATTATTTTTTTTTTGCTTCTAAAAATAAATGATTCGTTGAAGTTTACGCAGGGTTCATTTATAGCCAAAGAACTGGAATTAAAATCTATTTGATTAATATTTCAAAGGTTTTCCTGTTTCCTTCTCTTATTAAAATTCCATAATATCTGTCTTAAATCCATCAACTTTTACCTACTTGTGGTGATTATTATTGAGGGGTTATTAAAACCTTGTTTGGTTTCAAAAGAAAAATAGTTTGGCCTAGATTGCTTCCGAGCCATCCCACTTTTAGAACGGTGAACTAATGTTTCTTGTGTCCCCAGAGCCCCGCCGCCTGCCGGGGGCAAAGGCTGGGAGTGAGTGTGGGTGACGTGGGGGTGATGGGGGCGCAGGTGTCGGCGGACGACCGTCGCCACTTGTGCGAGCGCACCAAGCTGAGCTCGGAGCCCGGCCTGGGGCTCACCGCCTACGGCTCCGTCGTCTACCAGCTCAAGGACGCCAACATGGAGGCGTCGGGCGCCTGCGACTTCGTCTGCCGCGCGCTGCGCATCGTCTACAAGACGGGTGAGCGACCGCTGCGCCGCGCTGCGCGAGCGCCGAACGCACGCCGGAGATGGACCGCAGTCCGGAGGTGGACCGGGAGGTTCTTGGTTGCTCGACCCGGCGGTGGCGGATGTTGAATTGAATTAATGCTTTATTTTACGTAGCGACACTCGGCCCATCCGTCCCGCTCTTCCGTCTGACCACGCAAATTTTGCTACGCTTATTTCACCAACTAGCAGGGAAAGGAGGTATTTCTTGGGCGAGAAACAGGCGAGTTGAATTTAGCTCAGAGGCGTCATTTAGGCTTGAGGATCTTTTACATGCAAGTAAATCTACTAATATGGGACAGCCGGCTTTACTTCTCCTCCGAAGGAAGGCGTGCGAACGATTTTTTCGCTCTTAAAAATCCACGGCTTCGTTCAAGTCTGAACCCGTGAACTTGGGTATAACAGTCCGATACGCAAACCGTTACACCATCGCCGTGCGGATGTTCGTTTGATTGATTCATTGTTTCCTTTTTCGGGGCATCAGGCTTGAGGATATTTTAAGTCATGGGTCAGCCGGTTTTACTTCCTCTCCGAAGAAAGGCGTACGAAGGATTTTTTCACCCTTAACAATCCACGGCTACGATCAGGTTTCAACCCGCCCACTTGGGTAGAACAGTCCGATACGGTAACCATTACACCATCGCCGTGCGGATGTTCGTTTGATTCGGGGCGCGCCAACGGCTATGGACATTGAGCCCGTCAAGGTCCGTTCATAATGCAAACATAAACATAAGCATAGCGCATAGACATAAACATTAACATAAGTGATAGACTGATGTATTCACAATGTCTGACATAAACGAAAAGAATATTAGAGTTTCTATTGGCTGTTGAGACATTCTTATTTGCTATTAGTTGAATGTGAGAATCGATTTCCAGGTATCGACTGTGTTCATGGCCCATATGGCGTTAGTTCTTCTATCGACTTCGCTCCAATTTCCAATCTTGATTTTGTGTTACTGTCCTGTGATTAGTTAATTTTGTATGTCTTCAGCGTATGTTTAAAGATTGCAAGCTTTTAAGTTAACGTCTTACGTGTTATGCTTACGCGAACGCATTGTGAATGAGTCCGCTTATGGACGTAGTCCTAACTTTTATGTTAATGCTATTCTTATGTTTATGTTTACATTGTGAATGAATTGTAGTGAGTTTTTATCATCGAATATGGCTGTTTTTCTCGCAATGGATGGTGAGATCCTGCACCGTTCTACACGTCTTGCTGTTGTTTTTCATCTCCCTTCGGCGGGGCACCGCTCCAGCTGAAACAAGCTCTGTGCTTCCAACATGTGGTAGTGTAGTTCATGTGTACGCGTGTGTCTGGGTAAGAGATGATTTCAGAACAAGGAAGAGGAAGGAAAGATCGCGCACCGTCCGTGGCGATCGGTAGACTACTGCTCCAGCACTTGCCTGATATTGATTGGAGAATCCAGGGAAACCTACTGATTAGAGGAGCCGGTCACTAGAATTCTCATTCAGACAGGGGCTGCATTCCCGATTGTTTCTCGAAAATCCTGCCACCGTCGGGACTCGAACTCTAAGATCTCCCGATCAGAGGCACTGCAGTGACATCAGTTGGTGCCCTGCGCCTCTTCAGCCAGTACGGATTTTCGGCACTATTATTATTATTATTATTATTATTATTATTATTATTATTATTATTATTATTATTATTGCGCACTATTATTATTGTTATTATTATACTAAATAAAAATAGCTACGTCGACTTCTGCAGCTGTCTGGAGAGATTTATTGCCGTCATCTGTTCTGATCAGTAGTTATCCGTGTTTTCCCCATCATAGTCAGGAGAGTACCGGGACAGTACTCTAATAAACGGGTCACGTCCGGCGTATGTTCTTTTCCTCCTCTACCGTATTTTATCCTCTCATCTTACACGCGTACACTTACATGCAATACGCAGCCACAAATGCCAGGAGACCAGAGGTTGGAGCTTGATCCGGCTGGGGCAGTATCCCCATGGCGTAGGTACCTGTAGGGATAACATCGCAAGCCAGTGTGTAGATCTGCGTTGGATCTCGCGAACCACTGACAAGGAACGCTGCCAGCTCCTGGGATAACAACAAACACTAAACCTATCGGATTGACGATCCACCTGCTGACACGCACGGAAACAGCAATCAATCAATCAATCGAGAGGAATAATCTTTCAAGCTTGCAAGGTTTTACTTACTCTAAACAAATACACAGAACTTGGACATGAATAGTGTAGTGCGAGTCATATTCCAGTTCCAGTACATATTCTGAAGTTTATGAAAGAATATGAGTAACGTAATAACGTATACTTTTAGTTCCTAAAATGTCTGCTGTGGATCACGTGAAAGACCGGTTAATGTCCCTTTATATGAAAATTGTCTTTTAATAGCCTGATGC